ATCACTGGAGCAACCAAGCCTCCTGCTTGCTCCAGCTCCGTGGCTGCCAGCCGCCATCTTGGTTGGGTTAATTTGCATATAGTCGCTCTGATTGGCTGGTGGGTGTGGCTTAAGGCATAGCGAAGATATGGTCAATTTGCAGGTTTGTCTTTTATTAGATTAGGTATTTTCATATAGAAATATTTTGTTTCATTTTAAAGCAGGAATCCTATGTTTACTTTTAAATTGTAATAATTAGAAGTGTGCATATAAAGGGTGTCCCAAAATTTACGCAAGAAGTAATTTTGAAAGACAAAATAGGTTTATAATTAAAAATTGTAAATTTCTTATTGATTCATAAAGTATACAGTATAGGGTTATGTATGGAATAGCATATTAGGTAAATGGCCTCCACGGCTTTGCTGGCACAATAAAAAAAGACCCCGAATAGCTGCAGCAATCCTGAGAAAGAACAAAGTAGGTGGGATCTCAATACCCCTCAATACTACTTTCATTTTAAAGCAGGAATCCTTTTAGCAGAAAGAAACTAAAGTTCTTAAACGTTGTTTCCACACTTGAACCTCTTTTTCTAATTCCTAAAATCACCCTGCCTTTTAGTATTACTTTGCTCTTGGATTTAAAAATATATCTCAGTGGGAGACTAGAAATTTGGCAAATGAAGTGTGTAGTACTAAAACTTAGTTCTACCATCCTTTTTTCCTGAGGTGATTTAACCACTAAAACATCCATGACCAATTATTGGACCCTGGAGAAGATTTCAGCAGTATGAATACAAAACTCAGCATTTTCAGGAAGAAGGGAACTTAACCCCATTCCCTTTCCCTCCCCCTGCATTATTTTCTCTAAGATCAAGAAAACATATCCTTGGGTGAGGACTTTTAAAAGAAGAATTAGAAAGCTTAAATACCTACACAGCTTTTTAAAAAACTGAACCCTAATCAATTATCCCTAAAAAAATCCTATCTCAAAGTGCTTCACCAAATACCTCTAAACATTTAAAAAACAGTATTCTTTCAAATACTCTTTAAAAGAATTAAACATTACAAAACTTGTTTCATAAGGTTTTTAGAAGAAGGTGTAACAGAATATCTTCATGATCTTGTTTTAAAAGAAAAGAAAAGGATTCCTTAGGACACAATAAACACAAACTATAAAGACTATTCATTTCACTAAATTAAGACCAAATTTGTGTTCAACAAAAAACACCATTATTAGAGTAGGAGAAGGTATTTGTAAAATATATAAAAACAATGAAGAGTGTATGTACAGATTATATAATAATTACAAATCAGTAAGAAAATAAAAATAAGACTTGAATACTTCAGAAAAGATAAAATTTAAAGGCAATATATAAAATAATGCAAAAAAGTACTGATATTCAGAAAAACGTAAATTAAAACAGCAAAATATGATTATATACCCACTTAAATTGCTAAAATTAAAAAATATTGACAAAAACAAGGCATGATAATATAATGGGGGCACTTGAACTTCTCATACACTACTGTTAACAATGAAAATTAGCATATTCACTTTGAAAAATGTCAGTGGGGGAGGAGAGAACATAGGCCACATAGCCTAGTGCAAAAGAGATATAGTTATTGTTTACTTTTTAAAAAAATATATTTTATTGATTTTTTACAGAGAGGAAAGGAGAGAGAAAGAGAGTTAGAAATATCGATGAGAGAGAAACATCGATCAGCTGCCTCCTGCACACCTCCCACTGGAAATGTGCCCGCAACCCAGGTTCATGCCCTTGACCGGAATCGAACCCGGGACCTTTCAGTCCGCAGGCCGACGCTCTATCCACTGAGCCAAACCAGTTTTGGCTATTGTTTACTTTTAAATTGTAATAATTACAAGTGTGCATATAAAGGGTGTCCCAAAATTTACGCAAGAAGTAATTTTGAAAGACAAAATAGGTTTATAATTAAAAATTGTAAATTTCTTATTGATTCATAAAGTATACAGTATAGGGTTATGTATGGAATAGCATATTAGGTAAATGGCCTCCACGGCTTTGCTGGCACATTCACATTCTTTTGTTGAAATTTTCCATGACCTGGATTGGTAGAAGCAACATCATTAAAATGTCCATACTACCCAAAGCAATCTATAAATTCAACGCACTTCCCATTAAAATACCAACGGCATACTTCATAGATCTAGAACGAACTCTCC